GTGTTATTTATGTGTTACCTGTCAGATTCCACATTATGGTAAAAAAAGAGAGAGACTTAAGAAGTTGTTTTAATTTATATATTTATTTATCAATAACTCTCAATTTCAATTTTCAAATAACTTCTATGTAATAATGTGTCAGTTTTTTTTACTTACATCACAGTATAATCAAATTTTAACAAATATTCACATATACAACTATATAATTATAAATTTCTCTTATCGAATATATTATTTTAAAAATAATACAGCCATTTTCATTCTTAAAAAAGTCGTTATTATAATTTCAGCAACAGTCAAATACATGTAAAAATATAGTTGGTATATCTTCATTTATAGATTTTTTCATCTTTCACTTAGATACATTTTTTACACCTTTTAGTGAAATAACTTAGGCAATAAAATTGAACAGAACAAATCCGAGTGTATATGAAGTATGCATAATTTCTCTTTTAAATTAATTAAACTCAAGCAAATATTACACCAGCCAGTAGAATACTGTGACTCTATACTGCGTAGAAAAAAATAATGTTCCTTTTTATGTTATATTTATACATAGAAAAAAAGGGTGTCTCTATTACTCTTTATGTATGTACATAAAAATATTCTTTTTCATATTACTAGAATATTGATTACATTTATTTAAAAAAAAGGAGGTAAACATAAGCTCCACAAAATAAATTTATCATCAGTCATTTAAATCACAAAGTCTTCATAAGTATAAAAAGTAAATCACGAGTAAAAGCAAAGAAGAATATGTCTTAATATATCAACCACACTACATCTACTGTAGACATAAACTTTTACTGTATGCTTACAAATTTCTATAAAAAATGTCAACTGTTAAAGGAGTTTTACTTGGTTAATATTGCTTTCAATATCATACTTTAATTCTAATTAATAATAATTATTACTACTTCTGAATAAGCCCAACATTAACAAATTATGGAAATACTTTATTCTTCTGGATTCTTCACTTGAATTAGACAACTACACCAATTTGCAACATGTTTTAGTTACTTTTAAATATAATAAACAATAACTTTAAATATAAATTCTAAATATGTTGGCAAATAATTAAAAGTCCAACATATCAATTCTTTCATATACACGTATCACATTCTACATGATGATCACAAACATGAACTGGTGCTTAAACCCATCATAAAAGGAAAAAAAAATCAAAAAGCATATTTAAGACGTTGCAATCACTATTAAGGTAATAATATTGAATATTAATGATTAAATACACATCACATGGACCTCTATTATGAAGCTTAGGAACTAATTATCTCTCTCTAGCATTCTGAATTTGGGATAGTTTTCTTTGTTTTTGTGTCAATGAAATTTTATTCTTTTATATAATAGCAGTAAAAGTTTAGAGGTCATTGAAATAAGGGTCACTCAAAAAATAACTTGACTTCTGTTTTGTGAACTTCACCTAATGTATAGTAGTATTAGTAGAAATAAATTTAGTTTCAACTTTTGAAAACATTTATCAAGCTGTTCACACATTATTTCCTGTTTTATAAGGATTGAACTGTTTTCATAACCAAGGTGATAAGTATCAGATCCTTCATTCTTGTTACAAGAAAATCATAACATATCAAACTAGAACCTCTTGTAACCAATTAATTAATTGAAAATACCTGATTTAACCTAAGATACACCCATGATTTTAATACTGCATATAACATGTTGGTGTACCTAATTATTAGACAATAATGTGACACTGCAAATTTTTCACTGTATGTTAATACAGAAGAGAGACACGCACACATTGCCTCTGCGGTATTTTTTCTTTCATTTATATATTTTTCATGTTGTATTTCTCCTTGCCTCAGATTTGAATCTGAGATCTATTGCATTCTTAGACGTGTTCTCTACCAACTGAGTTAAAGAGCTAGCAAGGCATTTTTTAAATACTTAAAATTCTACACCTCAAAGTTAATAATCAATTGTGGGGTAAAAAATCTGTGTACACCTTTTAACTAAATCCTAGAGGGATTGAACAAGTATGAAGTATTCTGTTTCTCTGAGGTAACTAAAGGTTTTTATAGCAATTCTGTGAACTTTAAAAGTAAACTTTTTGGAATAACTTAGAAAGACCATTTTTTATTACAGATGTTTATGGATCATGTTTTACAAAAAGAAAAAAAAACTGCAAGTTTAATATCACACTTTTTCAGGAAAATACATGTTTCACACACCCAAAATCTTTTGTAGTTAGATCCATATAATCAATATGGCTTTTCTTGTATAAGGCAAGAAAATTCTAGGAGTGCACAAATTATAAACAAACTACAACCCATAACCATGACAACTTGCCACCAAATCTGTATAAGAGCTCAAAATGTTAATCGTGTTTCAGATAGCAGCAAGTATTTTGTACAACATGTTTAATATAATATTATTATAAACTTCAGTGGGACCAAATTTTTGTTGAAGTTATTTATTGTTGAATAGGTATGTAAGTTTAAATAAAAAAACATGTATTTTACTTACAGTCACCTTTAAAGATAAATAGAGTAATTTTAGTTTTGCAAGAAAATTCTAGGAGTGCACAAATTATAAACAAACTACAACCCATAACCATGACAACTTGCCACCAAATCTGTATAAGAGCTCAAAATGTTAATCGTGTTTCAGATAGCAGCAAGTATTTTGTACAACATGTTTAATATAATATTATTATAAACTTCAGTGGGACCAAATTTTTGTTGAAGTTATTTATTGTTGAATAGGTATGTAAGTTTAAATAAAAAAACATGTATTTTACTTACAGTCACCTTTAAAGATAAATAGAGTAATTTTAGTTTTAAAACTAAAATTCAGCATGTAATGTTTTTCTTCTATTCTGTGCTAATTCTGCACATACATTACGTTATGTCTACTATCTCCACCAGGGCATATGGTTGGTTGGAATAATTTCAACTGTAATTTTCCAATGCAAATGGAAAGGAATAACTCTTAAATGAAGAGGATGTAGCATCAGTATTAGGAGCTTTTAACCCCCACATATGCTGTTTGATATGTATATCATTCAGTTCAGGAGTTCCAGCACTATGAAAGATAAGTTCCTTTCATATATAAAGGGGTTAATTTGCTGTCTGAAGGAACACTTTAGAAATGCACATTGGAGGGTATATCACTTTCCACAATCTCTTTGAAATCTCAACTTGTATTCCAAAAAGAGAAAGCCAGCATCACTGCTCTGTAAAAGGCAGGGCTAGAAAAATATGAAGGAAATTAAGTAAACCTATAATAAGTATATGACATAGAAACACATAAACATAATCACACCATTTGTTAATGCTATTTCCAGTTTCTGTTACATCTTCCACATATCTATATTAACATAATATTACTATTCAATAGAAAGAGAAAAATATTTGAATACCACATCTGATAACTGTTGTATAAGCAACACTTGACAATTATACTGTCTGTTAGAAAAGTACTTAACTTTAAAACATACATCCATTATAGGAAGTGTGAGAGTTAAGTGAATATTTTTGGCAACAAAAAAAATGGCTGCGACCTTTCTGCAAACTTTGAACACTAATGTTGAATTTAGTGAACCTAATGTAACAAAAGTAGCACCCATATGGATTTAATTATATTTAGGTGTAGAGTTAAAAAATAGGCTATCTGCTAAACAATACGAGTCAAACAGTATTCAGTGGTCAAAGAGCATTTACAACATGACCTAAAGGTACTGATATTTGGCACTTTTTTGTTATACTTTTTGCATAACAAGAACCCAAGTGAGTTAAAAAGAATAGATCCATATCATTTTTTGTTATTTGTGAAGAAACAAATAATTACTACAAGGAGAATAACTATTTTTGAAAGGAATATGTCAAGTGTTACAAGTACATTTCTTTATAAATCTTACCTTTAAGAAATTAAAAGACACTAGGTCTTAGTAAAATACTTAAAACTTTTTACTGATTTCAATATTAAATAACTTTGACTATGCTTGAATGTGTTTTTATAATAGTCAGAGAAATGTTATTTTCTTTTATAGCATAATCTCATAAAATCTAGTGCTTATCACATATATAAATGTTATAGCTTTAAACATGACAGAAAAGTTTGGTTTAATATAAAACATTGTGAAAGACATGTTGGAATTGTTTTTATTAAAATCTAAAACAATCAACTGGTTAGTCATTTCTGATGACACAAAAATAAGTTAAGAGAATGTTTAATGTTATATTATAATAACACAAAGGTTAAAAGTTTGTGAAAATATCTATCTTGAACTCAAAACAAAATGTATTTGTTGTTGTTTATGGCTAATGAATAGTAAGGTTCCCTAAATACGTCTTTTTTTTTCCCATCCACAAAATTAAGATTTACAATTAACATTAAGTTTATAGGTTATGCAACGGTGGAAGCCTATTGCTAAAAGCAGGATTTATTAAAAGAATATTTAATAGATCAAACATTTCATACCCTTGTATCCACTCCACTAGTGAGAATACGAAATCTATAGGTGCTTCTGAAATACACACCAAGTGGAAGAGTCCATGAAGGGTTACTGTCCTAGAAGTAAATGAAATAATTAGTTTGATTTTCAATTACTGTTTTTAATTTTATTAATCAGGTTATATTTAAAGTCACATTAAATTTGCCTAGTTTTATTGTATGTTTCAGAAATGCCGAGAAAATGCTGCTTAACAACAATTCATTTAAAGACCTTACATCTCCTCACAAGACTTACACTAATAACTTTTATCTAATGTGTAAGTCTAAACAGCTTCCTTAAGTGTTAATTCTTGTTCAAATAATGTAATTTTCCATGCAAGTATACAAACAGTTATTAAAGAGTAAAATTTCAAAATTGAACATTTAAATTTAGACTTTATGGGAAGACTTAAGTCCTTTAATACTAAATACATTTCTTGTTTTACAAGTATATGAGACAATAATTCACAATACTAAAATAGGAACATAAGAAGAACCCGTTGTCTTTATCATCTATAATTCAGTGAAAGATGAATTTAGTGTAAATGGAGAATGAGGATTACCAAGAAAGTGAGTTTCTCTTTGTTTTGAGAGTAAATATGATCAGATTTTACACTTGAACAGTGAACCAGTGGCGTATCAGTGGTGCACATCTCCATGAAAAAAGCCTGTGTCAAACTAAAAAAAAAATAAGAGGAAAGGTTAAGTAATGAAACAATCTAACTTAAATATGGAAGTAATGAAACAATCTAACTTAAATATGGAAGTAATAAAACAATCTAACTTAAGTATAGAAGTAATAAAACAATCTAACTTAAGTATAGAAGTAATGAAACAATCTAACTTAAATATGGAAGTAATGAAACAATCTAACTTAAATATAGAAGTAATAAAACAATCTAACTTAAATATAGAAGTAATAAAACAATCTAACTTAAATATAGAAGTAATAAAACAATCTAACTTAAATATAGAAGTAATAAAACAATCTAACTTAAATATAGAAGTAATAAAACAATCTAACTTAAGTATAGAAGTAATAAAACAATCTAACTTAAATATAGAAGTAATAAAACAATCTAACTTAAGTATAGAAGTAATAAAACAATCTAACTTAAATATAGAAGTAATAGAACAGTCTAATTTAAGTATACAAGTAATAGAATGGTCTAACTTAAGTATACAAGTAATAGAATGGTCTAACTTAAGTATACAAGTAATAGAATGGTCTAACTTAAGTATACAAGTAATAAAACAGTCTAATATAAGTATACAAGTAATAAAACAGTGTAACATAAGTATACAAGTAATAGAACAGTCTAACATAAGTATACAAGTAATAGAACAATCTAAGTTAAGTATACAAGTAATAAAACAGTCTAACATAAGTATACAAGTAATAGAACAATCTAAGTTAAGTATACAAGTAATAGAACATTCTAAGTTAAGTATACAAGTAATAGAACAATCTAAGTTAAGTATACAAGTAATAGAACAATTTTCTCAATCAAGGTGCTTTTTTAATATTTTCGTGTGTATATTCATTGTACTTGAATAATGTTTGATAATATAACAGCACATATAAACATTGAAAGATTTGGAAAGTTAAGGTTGTATTATTCTAGCAATGGGAATAGACAGTTCCATTGTTAATAATCAAGTAAAATATTTTTGGAAGTATACATTGATTACTAAATAACAGTAATATATAAAATAGTTCTTTCTGTACAGATATACTTTCTAAATGTCATGACCAACAATACTTATTGTTATTACTATAGGCACATAATAATACATGTGGTTTCATACATTATATGTAAATTATTTACTGATTCATTCCACAGTTTTGCTGTGTATAGTTGTAATAAACATACAGCTTAGCTGATCATTTTATAAACTTTTGTCTTAACCCAGTTTCTCTGTTGAAGTAATTTCTCTAGAAATTGTGTTTATAGATTATACATGCTTTAAAACCACTCAATATTTTAAAAATATTTAAATTAAAGTTCTATCCTTCAAAGTTGGAGATTTAATAGGACAAAATTTAATCGAATAGGAATGTATTTGATAAATTTTCTGAACTGCAATGAATATAAAAAGGCTTAAAATATGTGTACCGTAACAAGTATTTGTACAACACTTTGAGTAATAAATTATTTTGAAGTATAACTAATTTATCACTGAGTATGCTATGAGTTCTGTCTTAAAGTATGTGGTTTTTATTTAATTATATTGCAAAAGGTTCGTGTTAATATGTTTTATACTTACTGAACAATGTTTAACAAAATTACTTTGCAAAATAATACATTATCTTAATCCTCAAATTACCAACTTGTTTTATACTGTATACATTACCAGTAAAGTCTAATTATTGTATATTATATTAAGTAATTTCATGCTTTTGGCTGTTAGCACATTCAGTTTAAAGAACTGCATAAAACCTGAAAAATTGGGTGAATTCAGACATTTTTTTTATGTAAACTGAATAGGAGAATTTAGCTGTAATTAGTGGGATTGATTACAATATTGTAGGTTTTTTTTTTAAGTTTTTAACTTTTATGTTATTAAGGGCTCTGTAATGAATAAAGTCATGGATCCACAAGTAATTTGGTACATAAATACTTTAAAAAAAACGTATGTAAAAAGCCAATATGAACCCCCATTGGTAATTCTAGTGTTTTTAATATGTATAAATATTTTAATACCAAGTATATAGTTATATTTTCATAGTAACCAAACCTAACTGACTTGATAAGGCACTTGTAATTTTAATAGCTGACATTAATTGTGATATCATAGATTTTGTTTTTTAAATGCATCACCTTCAAAACTTACAAGTAAAAATGATTCACTAAATAAATCTTTGTCTTTGATAGCCTAGATTATAGCATGTTACCTGAATGACACCATGTACTTTCGCTATTATTTTGTTCACGATGAAAAAATTAGAAACTTCACACACACACAAACAGAGACATACATAGAGCAGTAAAACTAACTTGAACTGTAGGGTTACATAGTCCAAGGCCATGTACCGCGACACAGGAATATCATAAGTATACCAGGGACCACTAGTACACTGATGGACACAGTAATCAACTCCAATTGTGGTATTCAATTCCTTGAGTCTAAGAGATTCTACAACACCTGTCAGTTTTGATGACTCTTCTAATGAATACCATAGAAAAATATTGAAATATATATTCTAGGTCATGCATACTAGCAACAAACAAATATAGTTAAAGTATGATGAAGGATAAAGATACAAAAATATACAATTGAAATCTCTGTAAAGAGGGAAAAAAAATTAAGTGGCCAATGTTTGGGCCAAACAAACTCTTAATTCTTTTCTCCTAGCTTACAGTAATTATAAAACTATTTCTTTGGGCCACAACACCTAACCACTTAATTCTTTTCTCCTACTTTAGAATAATTATAAAACTATTTTTTTTGTATTTCCAAACAGATTTTAGTTTTATTGTTCTCAATAGTGATTACACTTAGAGATGATTGTAAAACAGTTCACAGTTTTAGATATTTCTATTCTTACCAGTGTCTTATCTAAAGTTTAATACATAAAAATATTTCAGACATATCAATAAAATTTCGAAGAATATATATATAAAATGTTACTTGAATATGTGGATAATATTCTACTCCATCTAAAATTGTCATGGTGAATATACCTTAATCCCTTTTTTCTTTGTCCTAATTACTACAGTTGTTCCACGTTATAAAAATCCATTACCATAAGTTAAGATGGAATGTATCTTTAAAGATTATAAGCAAAAGAATATTTTCTCTCTTTTTTTTTTGTAATTGGAATGCAAAAAGTTTCATACATTTGTATATGATATATGATGTAGTGTTTGTCTTGTGAAACTATATTTTCACTGTGTTCAAAAAATACTTGATTCATATTCTATATTACCTTATGATTTTTTTTATACAATTGAGTCACTCATAAAAATACTAGTTTTTACTTTATGGCCACATTATTTTAAAATATTTGAAGCATACTACAAGACTACTTACGTTTATGACCAAGTTGTTTAGAGTTCATTCTCATTGTTTCAGTAGTATTTTCTTGTTGAAAATGATGGTAAGGGTGATAAAAAAAAATAGGATGAATTTTATAGTTTCTTTCCTTTGTTAATCTTTGCTCAGTAATTAGTTTTATTGGACCTGTTGACAGTTCATGAGGGCTGTAAGTATGGTTTGAGGTTTGTTGAAGAGGCCTAACACCTGATTTAGCACTGCTATTCCCAAGAGAGATTAAAAGATTATAGTTTGGCTCATTTGCAATATTTGGAATATCAATGGTCACTTTTCCCTGATAGGTTAGGTCAGAATGTCTGAATGATGCATTCATCTTTCTTCTGCTAGGCATTGTCATATGGTCATTTCTGCCAGATGAGACTGAAATGTTGCTAAAATCTAGAAATAAGTATAATAAAATTTTACTATGCTTATAACTTGCATCTTTGCTGTTATATATATTAAACAAATATTTCTTATAAAGTGGTGATTTTAGAATAAAATAGAAATTGAATCTTTTAGTGCTTTATTCTTTTTTTGATTAGCTTATCCAAATACTTTTATATCAAATATAGGTAATGTTTCAACAAAAAATCTTAAGAAAAACATGTATACTAAATAATTTATTAAAATCCTTAATTATAAATAATGAAGCATTTGTAATAAATTCTGGAATGTCAGTTGAGAAAACATTTTCCATTTCACAAGATTTTAGTGCATGGATCAAGAACCATTATATAATCAAGTACTAGCTATATGATAAGTGTAAACATATAGGGTGTGTGGGTGGTATGGAGGATAACTGACAAATTTGAGTAAAGTGTTAGTCACATGACTTACAAACACCTTTGAATTAAAGAGCATGAAAAACTCAATATTATACTCTAAAATATCTTTATTGATTTTATTATATGTATAGACTATAAAGAACTTACTCATGGCATGTGGCTCATGTTCAACATCTGTGGTTTTATTTGACTTTAAGAAGGTAAAATCATAACTTTTCTTTTCTAACCAAGCTTCAACATCACAACAGACCAGTGGACAGTTTGCTGGAATAAAACTATTTTTGACACAGCTTGATGGAAGGCCTACTGGAAGGCGATTTGTTTGGTTAGATTCTCCAGTTTGTGAGGAAGTCGACCTTTGTATATTACTAAGAGTGTTTTGTGGTGCAGAGGAATCGAGAAGATTACTTTCTGAATAACGTTGTAAACCATCTACAAATAAGGTACTATATTACTCAAAGATACTTTTTTCAATAAGAATAAACTAACAAATCTAGATTTTGTAGAATTCAGTCAACACCAAAAATAAACTTTTCAGTGTAATAACAAAGTAAATATTATATGACAGTAGTACTACAATATAATCAAAATAATCTTTAAAATATCAAACACATAATTTTGATCATTAGATTTCATCTAAGTAAATTTGCTGAATAAAAGACAAATGCATGCAACTGGATACTGTATCAATGATATCACAATACAAGAGTTACACAAAGTTGTCTGACATTAAAATAAACAAGCAATTTTTAGTAGACATACACATTAAAGTTTTTTGTTTAATTTTATCAACATAAACTATGCAACTAGATTTTCTATAGAATGTTGACAGAGATAATAAAATTTGATGATTTTTTATAACTTTTTGTTTTAAGGCCATCATTCTTTATGAAATGAACTAATACATCTTTCAAACACCTAACTATAAGATGTATGTGAGGGATGTAACTATACCATTCAAGCAGGACTGGGGATGTGGCATGTTTACTTCCAAAGGGGGGGGGGGGGCAACACAGTCAGCATTTGTACAGGGAGGCAAGACATGTCACACCAGCCCTGCATGTAAGTGTTTCTGCTTGAAACTATTGAAAACTTACATGATGCATTTAAGTCTAATTTTTTTTTTCATTTTATTTCAATTGTTTAAGTACTAACGCTACAAAAAACACAATGTCACTACATTAAATATCATCACCATTAGATTGAGGAAGTAACATGGAGGAAAGAAAAGTTTCTGCTTCCTGAGAATAGTTGTGTTGTGGAATTCCGTGTTTGTACCTGAAAAAGTAAGTAGTGGTATTCAAACAATGGTATTTCAGTTCATTGATAATATAAAATCATATCAAGCATAAGAGAAACAACAAATCATCTGGTAGTCAAATAACATATGCGGCTGTTTTTCTCATTTCATTATAGTATAATCTGTTATTATAAGGGATGATATTAACGTTTACAAACTAACAACAAATACAATATGGTTTAATATAAATAGATATAATACACAATTCACTTCAACTGTAGATTGAAAACTACTATCAACCCTAACAATAGGTGGCTATGTTGGTAGCTTCAAAACGTAAGTACAACTCTGCAGACGTTATCAACCGAGTTAAGCTTATTATTATTATTATTATAATTTCACAGATTCAAAGAAGGGGCTATTATTTTAAACCAAACCTAGCAAGTTTCTATATATTTTATTCTTCACATGAATGAAAAAGTAATCTCATATCATTCAGTAATAATCTGTTATATCTGTTATAGTGGTTTTAAAATCATTATTCAACTCTATTCATACAAACAGCTTGACTAATGTTATCCTTTCTAATATAGCAATGTTTTACCTTGTAAACTTCAGTGGAATAGTTTTTTTTCATATAAATCTTTACATTATTAGAAAGTTCAAATGACTATGTAATACTATTTCATTATACAAGAATACATCTACAAAGCCAGCGATATGTCAGTAAACACAAAAATACCTTCATGTTTTTACATAGATTTCTAAAACAGATAATTTGGACTTTTATTATGGTTTATCAAAAACAAGATGTTGACATTCTTCTTGCGCCACAAGGAATACTGTTCATATTTTTGAAACTTGAAAATAAAGTGAATATTTTGAAAAAGATTATAGGAAGTAAAAATTTGAAACTTACATGAAAAAAGTCTTTCTTAACTGATACAATCATTTTACAAAATTTGGTATTATTACATTAAAAACCTGAAATTTGGTCAACTACAGTAAAACCTTTAAATTTGGCAACATTACAGTAAAAACCCTAAATCTGGTATAATTACACTAAAACCCTTAATGTGGTATTATTACAGTAAAATCTTAAATTGGAGGAATAGTAACTTTTGAGATACAATTATAGCTGCAATCAATATTGAAAACAGCTAGAAAACAATCAATTTCTTTCTGAGCTTTTACTATGTGGTAAGAATGTCTTAAACGTGTACCTATTAAATTTTAACATTTTTTTTTATTAACTGTCATTCTAATACTTAAATCTCTGCCATTTTTGTAACTTCTTTAAAAGAAATCTGAAATAACATTATAAAGATGTCTTGAACAGACTTTTATTTTACTATGAATATTCATTTGTGTGAATTTCAGTTTAAAAAGAAATATGTTACATATAATACTGCTGCATGCTGTGAAAAAAGGAAAGGATGCAAAGAATTTTTGATCTTCTTTCCTCAGGATTACTCTGTGTTATGTAACTTCATTCTATAAAAAGATACATGAAAAAGCAACAATATTTATCACATTCATGTTATGATGGATGTATGTGTTTTTGTGATCTTTGAAAAATGTTTTTAACAGTATAGGAAAGAATGGTTTATAACTCCTTGTCTCCAGTTAAACAACATTAATGCAAAATCATAAATAATATTCAACGTTAAACTGGTACACAAGT